TTACTAGAATTTGAGTTCTGCACCCCACTTTTTTCTCCTGCTCCATCAGGGACTCTCTGTTTTGCTCCCTTTCAGGGTGGTCATTGGTGGTAGCTGGGCACCATGTAATTCTTCTGGTCTCAGGCTGAAGGAGTCTCTGGTTTATGTGGCCCTTTCTGTCTCTTGGGCTAATATTTTCATTGTGTCTTTGGTGTTCTTCATTCCCCTTTGCTCCAGGTGGGTTAGGATCAATTGATGCATCTTAGATGGCCCGCTTGCTAGCTTTTAAGACCCTAGACACTACTCACCAAAATGGGATGGAGAACATTTTCTTAATGAACTTTGTTATGCCAGTTGACCTAGATGTCCCCCGAAACCATGGTCCCAGAAGTTCTACATTTGAGAAACCTGTTTAATGCTGTTGAACCCATCCTTTCTAAATGATTGGGACAGAATTCCTATCAACATCATGTAGAACAACGACACACTAGGGGACAATGTTTGGGAAACTGTACAAGGTTTGCAAATCAGAGATCTTAAGACAACTGATGAGTGGGCCTGCCAGTTTGATTTTTAATTTCATGACAAGTCTCCTTTTCAACCATTAGACAAAGGATAAACGGCTTAATAAAAACAGACCATGTTTTACTTTCTTGTATTCTCATATCATATGTGGGTGATGGAACTACAGCATCTACTGCTACACGTATGTTCCAGAAGCCAGAATACTGCCCTCTGTGTCCAGCTACTTATCATTAACCAACAATGGAACTGGCCGGAAGAAGGAAAAATAAAATAAAATAATAAAATGAAAGCAAATCAATGTAGGCTAACCTAAGGGCTGACTTTGGTACAGCGACTGGATTGTCATTGTCCTCCATGTGTCATCATGTCCACAGAAGAATGTTTGCATTATTACTGGACTGGGAATTCTTGATACAATTTGGGAATGGAAAATGTGAGCCCCCCAAAAAACAACGAAATCCACATTAAGATATAAATGCTTTTAATGATGGGGATAATTAGAACCCATTGAAGCTTGGAATTCACTTCTCTTAATATGCAAAATGAAATTCACAAAAGAAGTAAAAGTGTCACTGAATACCCTTCATACCACGTTATAATGTTCATTAACATCTGTCTCTAATTGAACTTTAGAGACAAAATTTTTCACCTTCTTTCCTTTTCTGACCTTTTCATCTTCTGTTCTCACACAAGCACCTATCAAATACTTTCTCTTTTATCCGTCTTAATATCTTTTCTTCCTCCCTCCCTCTGTGACCCTTGGGTGGCGATGGGTTGGGGGGCAGGGAATGAGACAGGAACAATTATTACAGGCTTCCTATGAGAA